ACATATTTGCAGACAGTAGATAAAACTCTGTAGTGAAAAAATTTCTTTGGTCATCAGTGGCTTAAACTTATAAATCCAACTTTACAATACATTTTACCTTTTTTAAAACATCGGAAAAACTGATTTTACCTGTTGAAGTGTTTTAATAAATTCGCTGCCCCCTTTCTCCACAAGGCTCATGATTCGGTGGATCAATTCAATACACACAAAACTGACACTAAGCCACCTCTAAGCCCTCCTGGGTTCATTAACCCTATAAATATAATAGGTAACGTTTTTTCCTATTAAAGGGCCAACTCTTTCAGTTGTCCAATGGCCTGTTCTATCTATCTCGCTAGTCCAATACCCATGCACAGAAGCCCATCATGGGCGCCTGGCATGCAATACAAAATGGAATGTTTTATCAAATGTACATCACCTGTTTCTTTTAAACTTGACTTTTTCAGTTGCAGCTCTCCGGTCTCGCGATGACCACAGAAAACCTGCATCCAAAAAAAAAAATTCAAAGTAAGAGAGCTACCCTGTTGTTCGTGATTGTTCATAATTAGCCTACGTGTGCCAGCACCCTATCCAGACGAGGACTGATGTCACATCGCATTTCAGAATACACCTTTGAAGGGCACAAATCGAAAGGGAAAGTTCATAAAAATGGTCACTTTTCTTTTTGTGGACAGTGAATGCTGGATAACGGAGACTGAAGGAGGGGAAAAAATAATCTGTCATGGCTTACTTTACTCATGGCCTCTTCAGCCCAGAAATTAGAAATAGCATCCCTGGAATCGGTGACGACAGAATTATCTTCGTTTAAGAGAGTATGCCGAAACTGCAAAAAAGAAAGAAACAAGGTAAGAAAGATCAACAAATAATATATACTCAAATACACAATTTATTGTATAGCTCTCCCTTTCACCTTACACTCGGTGGCTGTATCGCATAAAGCGAAAAAAAAGTAATTAATTATCAAAATTAGTTGTACAGATTTGGGGGATAAAATAAGGAATAATAAAGTGAAACATTAATTTTGAAAACTATCTACATTTCAACAACAAGGTGATATCTATGAATGATCAAAAGTTCTTTTTCCCCCCTGAAATGATACAACTTTCCATGTACCTGCACTTGATGATGATGATGATGATGATTATGATGTTAATGAAAATAATAATAAGATTAATAATGATAATAATAATAATGCATACATACACCCATACATATGCACATACACACGTCCGCTCTTAAAAGATGAGTGGGGAAATTGCCATTAAATAAAAGCATGCAAATGAAGTAAAACTTCTCATATACCCTATTCGAGGACTGTCTTTCTCTAAATCCGTATCCTTTTGGCCGCACACGCATGTACAGCCGAAATATCAGATGATCGCCCCCCCTTACCACACCCACGCAATATGTCTTCCTCTTGTTTCATCAGGAAACACTGTGAGGGGTTCTAAGTCAAGTGACGAATAAAGGAATGAGAAAAAGGCACATTGGATATTACCTGCCTCCCCCTTTCTTCCATTTCCACAGGACTTAAGTGCATCTGCGGAGTTACGACGTGTTCCTCCTCAGGTTCGTCCTAGTCAAAGCACAGAGTTATTAAGTTAAGAAAAGAGTAGTATTTTTTATAGGAACAAGGACTTAATCTGCAAAACCCCAAAGAGCCACTGTTTCAAGTATTACCTCTTATCTGTTTGACCGTAATAATTAAGTTCTTCCTGATAGTCGATAGATTTTTTTCAGTCTACGCAGGTTAAGGTGACAAAGGTTGACACAACACTCAGATATACCCTCCCTATGGTTATAAACCTTAAGCCCTCTATTCTGGCTTTAAAATAACTGGGGTTAAAAAATCATTACGCTACTTGCCTCCAGTTAAGTTTTCTGTTTTTTCATTTACGGGTTGTGGCTTACCTCGTCAGTCGGTGTTGTGGGAGAATCCAGCATGACATAAACGGAACCATTCCCTTTTAAGGTCCATACTCCCTGTGCATCAAGATTTTGGTCGGCCGCTAAAGTGAGAAAGTTTCTATTTCTCCACGCTGCGTAAGAAAACGGCCCATCAAAATCTTTAAACTGCCGATGGATGACACCCATTATCTTTTCCCTTACTAAATCTTCGGTCTGATCCTCGGTTAAGAAAAAAACGCCGTGGCTAGTATGGCCTGTCCTTGGTAGTTGGAGATGCTCTTGGTTCCTTTGAACAGTTCCAGGATGTTATCGACGACCAAGAACTTCATGTTGAACCGTTTTCGTTCATGTCCCGCTCCTCTTTTACCGCTTTGTCTGTAAGGAGCAAAGCGGTGAGAAGAAGAGGACCTGTGCTGCCTGGTAACAGATGGTCGGGTTGCTCGACTAGTTGAGGAGCCACTCAAAGTACCAGGATTCGAGCAAAACGAATAGGAGACGTCGTTGGCCCGCCTCGTGTCCGACCAAAGAGAATTTAGAGAGCTCCTTGCATTTTCTAATGCATTAGATACACCATTGTCAGATACTGACGACCTGTTAGATCAGCAAGCTGCGAAGCAGATCTAGAAAACCTACTTAGTATCTCAGTAATATCATTTCAACTCATCTTGACCTAATCGAAAAAAGAAGAAAACCGACGCTAATACACATTGAGGCAAAGGTTATAGCAGAAGGTGTGAAAACGACACAGGCGTTCCAAAAGGAGAAATCAAATTTTGAGGCTAGTGTCCGTAACATTTGCAATTGAAACACTAAATACATTTGTACACTCCCTTAGTTCCCTTGAAAGCCATCACCGATTCCAGACCAAAATGAGCAAAGTCTATTCCCGTTTTCAGACCAAAACGGCGCAAAAACCCTAACTGTATGGTAGGGTTAAATATGTTAATAGGTTTTTGTATTGATTAAACGGCATTTTCTGCCCTATCACATATTTACTGGTTTTCCGCCAATTAGCAAGGAAACGGTTGAAATGAGATTTGCACCACAGGGTGTATGTTTCAGCCAAAGGGGAAGTAAATTTTTTTTATCGCATAAGAAGAAAAAAGACAACCAAGGAAAACTGTATTCCGACCTTGATCATTCGACCTTTATTTATCCTTAGACTTTCAAGATCGCCGGAACTCCTGTTAAAGTAGTACTATAACCTATATGCACTCTGATCTCAGATCAGTATAAAGTAACAGTTAGATCGTGTTAATATTCGAACAGCAACGGATTTATAACCCTTTTGTACAATCAAATTCATTCAATTAACTGTTAAAGCACAATCGTAACCAAAAAGGATAATGAAAACCATTTTATAGCCGGGGTCGATTACTCAATGGGTTGAGATATTGCCATGAACACTTTCTGCAATATTTTCACCCCATTTGCGTGATGGGTGATGGTTTTAAAAAAGGCAGCATCATGTGTGATAGAAACCCCCCTTTTGCCACCCTCATCAATCGCATTCCATTATTTCCACCGCGAATGAAGAAAGAAAGAAAAACCAACACAGATACAGGCAGCATTTTCGATTAATATAGCTGGGACAGCAAAAGCGCATTATTTCTATCACAAACTCTTTTTTTAGAACCGAAAAACAAAAAAATTACTTCTCAGCTCTGCATATACACGTGGTCATAGATGTGACAATCTGGTCAGTCACCAGAGTGTGACAAAGTATGACCTTCGCTTCCAAATATTCGAACTTAACCATGAAGAAAGATCCGGATACATGTAACATTGTAAAAAAACAGAAAATGACAATCTCGGGAAGTGTCGGCGAGTGTTATAGACCACAACAGTCGCCAGATTCCTTCCAATGGAAGACCATCATTCAAGCACAACTGAAACAACAACTTCATATCAACAAGTGAAGTCTTGCAAATAGAATTAAGCGAATGCAAAATAATATATATTATTTTCATTCAAATTTGTCGCCCCGCATTACTGGCTGCCGCACTCAAGCAAAACCCCAATGTAGAAGCAGCATCCCAGATCATAACTGATCAATCGCATAACAACTGATCGATTTTAGTAACAACTGAATGAAAATACGCCCTATTCTGATCAATCAAATAACTGATCGATTTTAGTCACAACTGAATGAAAATACACACTACTGATCGATCATATAACAACTGATCGGTCTGTTAGTCACAACTGAATGAAAATACGCACAACTGATCGATCATATAACAACGGATCAGTCTTAGTCACAAATGAATGAAAATATGTACTACTGTCGATCATATAACAACTGATCGATTTTAGTCACAACTGAATGAAAATACGTACAACTGATCGGTCTGTAAGTTACAACTGAATGAAAATATGCACTACTGATCGATCATATAACAACTGATCGATTTTAGTCACAACTGAATGAAAATACACTCTACTGATCAATCATATAACAACTGATCGGTCTGTAAGTCACAACTGAATGAAAATATGCACAGTGTTGTATTATACAAGCCGAACTGATCAAAATTTGAGACAGTTTCTCATAGTTGATTACGGACAACTGATCGATCATACAGACATTCAGACAGAATTCACAAGACAGATTACCAATTGATGATATGCTGGCTGATCGATTTTACGTGTCTGGTAGAAAATTAGCACAATATAATAATATTTTAATTGATCGATAACTGGTTGGTAAATCTGATCGACAAAACTGATTAAAAATTTATAACCAATGAAAAAATTAATTTTGACACAAATGGCGTGCCATATTAGGTAACAGAAAACTGGCTTGAGCAGTTAAGTGAATTTTCTTGGACACAATGCTAACCCATTCGGGAAACACGTGAACTTGAATAGTATTTTCGTTTAGATCAGGAAATGATTTGGAGGAGACCGCTGCTATAACTGCCATGGGATCATGTATTGCTGATATCAGTCAATGGATGCATTTGGATAAGTTAAAACTGAATTCCAATAAGACAGAATGTCTTCTGATTGGAACACAACAACAACTTCAGAAAGTCAGTAACATTAGTACCTTATCAGTTGGGGACTCCCAAATTGCTCCATCTTGTGAAGTTTGAAACCTAGGAACCTGGTTTGATTCTAAAATGAGTATGCTAAGTCATATCAACAAAACTGGCTCATCCGCTTTATTATCTTTATAGCATGCGCAGAATTAGGAAATATTTAAGTTGTTCAGTCACCAAATCATTAGTTCATCCTTTTATCACCAGTAGAATAGATTATTGTAACAGTCTACTATATGGCCTCCCGAATTCACATATCATGAAACTCCAACAGATACAGAATACCGCGGCTCGGTTGGTCACCGGAACACCTAGATTCTGCCATGTTACACCATTGCTTTTCCACCTTCATTGGCTTCCAATAAGTTACCGTATAAAGTTTAAGATTCAACTTTTGACATTTAAGTTATTATATGGTCAAGCTCCTAATTATCTAATTGATTTCATTACTATCAAAAAGCAATCCAGGTACTCTCTAAGGTCAAATGAGTCTATATTCCTGGAGTTACCAGGCATTAAGACCCATCCAACTCTTGGCGATCGTGCATTCCAGTCAGCTGCACCTTATCTCTTGAATGCATTACCTTCGGCAATTCGCAACATGAAGACATTGGACACTTTTAAGACTGCTGTTAAAACTCATTTTTTCAATTTAGCTTTTAAATAGATTTAATTGTTGGCTTTTATAATAGGGTTTTTTTCTTATTATTATTTATTGACTTTTTTATTTATAGTTTTTAATACTTTTTATTGTAGTTTTTAATAGTTTCTCATGCTTCACTCACCTTTTACATAAATTTAATATAACAATATTGTAAAGCGCAACCGAATATATTCATATAGAGGTTTGCGCTATATAAATGTAAATTATTATTACTATTTTGTGTTGGGACCGTCTTGATAAGGAGTTGAAATAAATTCTATAGGGTGGCCTTTCACAGTGCTAAGGACCTCAGGTTCTGAGGTTAAGTCTAGCCATCTCGAGTAACATGTACTTATGCTGCCAGCCTTAAAGTTCTGCATCTGACACGACAATAGTTGTTTAATGTTCTCAACATAAAGCTCAAAATTATTAACCTGTAGGGTTCCTAAATTGGTCAGCTCCTTAATGTTTGCCTGTGGTTCTTGCTCCCCCCTTCTTCTTGTAGAGGGGGGATTTGAAGTTTTTTGACTTATCGCCACGATTTTTCTATTGGTTGTGGGAATGAAAGAACCTTTTGTAATACTGGTCTGAGGATCTGTGTTGTCCCCTCGTGCTAGAACTACCTTTGTAGCCAGTCTTTTGTGATTTTTTTCCATTCACTGACACTTGTGAAATTTTATTTGTTTTATTTATTGGGACATTTCGAGAGAAAAGTGCTGCATATTCTCTCTTGAGGATAGGTCTTATCGCCTCGTGTCTTTTCAGTGATAATTCATATTGCGAGTGGCCTAACAATGCCAGAGCATCGGAATGAAAACTAACCATTTGAGTAAATTATCAGTACATTTTGCAGCAATAGTGCCTACCTTAGAAACGATGTTCTGTGTGTTGGCTGCTCTGAGATCGACGCTTTTGGCCGTATGGCTCTTGTTTGCCCATGTTTTGGGGTTTACACGTGCAGCAACTAGGCTCCAAAGGTTCCTGGGTCGGGAATGTTCCTTTAATTTCTCTGACCATCTCTTATTGACGAGTCTGGCAAGCTTTTCCGAAACATCTTGGTCGGTTTCTTCGTCAGCATTCAGATTGTTTGCGATCGCGTCGAGCAAATCATCTTCAACTCCCATGTCGGGTTACTCTTCTCCTTTTTTAAGCAGCATGTTGCTGTCTGATTCAGGAACGTCATTATTCGAGTCGGTGTCTGAGTCAGACAATTCATCAACTCTTGGCCTTTTAGAGTATCTCTGGCCATCGGCAAATCGAGCAAGGGTTTCCTGCATCGAGCTCACAGACTGAGATACTGACATGTTGTCATTGATCTTCAACAGTGTCGATTCCAAAGAGTCATTGGCATTTGCTGAAATGACAGGAATTGTCCTTAGGACTGAGTTGTTCACATCATCGTCACGAAGGAGTGTGTCTTTGTCTTCTCTTTCCAATTATGCCGAGAATCCAGCTTTTTCCAGACTCACGTCCGATGAGTGTTTTCCCACCATTTTCCAGGATGGTATCAACTCGCAGTCACCCTGAATTCTGGATCCGAGATGAATCTGTCAGGTCCAAGTTTAGTAGCATTCTATAACAGCTAATGGCTCCAGTACAAATAGTTTGTTTTACGGAAGATTCCTGGAAATTTCACTAAAAACAGTAAAAGTGGTCAATGTAGCTCCAAATGCATTGAAGGTTAACAAGCAACTGAAAGCGAAGGTGCGCACGCATTTCTCATGTAATTTCCTTGTGACATGGACCAGTGATGAAACAGAATTGAAAATTACAGCTTGCATTTATATAATGAAGAGACGAAAATAATAATTCACATCCAGATTTAAACATCTTTCTTGCTGTACCTGTACTTTGTCTTCCTCTTTTTGTTTAGATTTACTGCCATCTTATCTCAGAGTGCTTCGTGGGGGACTCTGGTCTGAAAATTTTATTTGCTGCTAATTATCTGCAATTAGAAAATTCAACTTGGCACTATATCGGGAAATGACCAGCTTGGGAATGTAAACATTACTTCCAAATTTGGTGCTTGTATCAAAAATGGCGTAATTCTCTAGCTAAGCCTCCATACTATTAGAATTTAGGTTATTACTAAAACGAACGTTCGTGCTCTAACAAGAGGCACGTGAAACAATATCAAAAGAAAACGTTTGCAATTGTTTTAATGATAAAATCTTATTTACCTGAATCACAATCCTCACCTCCACCTCAACTTCTACAAAAAAAACAAGCAAAAAGAAATATCAGTTGTTCTATACACAATTACAAATCCAGCCAGTGTCATACAGGAGCGTCCAAAGTACCAATAAACAGCTCCATGTTAAAAGTCAGTCCCCACCCCTGTACACATTCCTCTTCTTCTGGCCAAGAAGTTATACAGCTGCAGTAGTTAGGAAGCCCACAAAGACAGTGCCATTGAGGGTAAGTTCCGGCCATTATCACTTATGCTTGCTAAAAATGTTCTGTTCTGAATGTGAGCACATCGAAGCAAAAAAGAATAGCGCCTGTTTTCGGAATTTCGAATCGTGAAAGGATCTCGGAATGTACAAACAGAGGAACCCAACCTTTGAATCTTTGCTTCTAGAAAGGATTGCGGGACTCACCTTGGACGTTACTAATTGAAGCCATTTCAGTACCCAATTGCGAAGCCAGCAGCGTTCCGATTCTAACTCTCCCTCAGATGAGAAGAAAACATTGAGCAACCCATTCCTGTTGCCACCGAGTTCTTTTCTGAGGCAATGCGTATCCATAGTTCAATAGTGATCATTTCTACAACCTGTGGTAAAGATGTATCCTCCACAGGTGTAGTGGCCCCCCTGGTTTCCTTGGCGTCATATATTCCACAGAGAACTGTCATGAGATCATCCTGACCTTGTAAAGAAGGAATCCTGCTTGATGAAATCACAGGTTCATGAAACTGAAACTCTTCATCCAAGATACCCAGTGATCACAGTATTTGGTGGGCCTCAGAGATGTCACAATGACAGCCAAACTCTTTGCAAAAGTTGAACATGTTAGGATAGATATCAATAACCTCTTCAGCCGAAGAGGTCATTTCTCGGAAGCCCTTCTCACCCATACTGATGTCACACGTAGCTATGAATGAAGTACGTTTTGCAACACAAATTTGACAGACACTTACTTATATAGCAAATCAACTTGCAAAAGAAGCGATAATATGTCAGGCATGAAATTGTTAAGGCAATTGAGAGGCTTACCATCGCAGACTTTCTCCATCTCCAAGTGTGCCTGCTATGTTTCAACAGTCCAAGAGGCTCGAAAAATTCTCGCCCAGAGAGCTGTGAAAACATATCCCCTGGGGGTGAATCACTTTGGATGATCTCTTCTCTGTAACACATTGTTATATCTTTTGTTGCGAGGAAGTGTGACATCATCATCCAAAGTTTTGCCCTACTCAGACTACACCAAGGCAAAAAAATGTATCATTTATATATTTTTTTGAAGACTTTTCTTTCATCCCGCATTTGAGAATATCTTGTGTATTCCTTATTTTCCGTGTTTCAGAATATTCCATATATTCCATATTGCAGAATATTCCGTGTATTCTGCAATTCTACCATTCCTCCATATAGGGTCACCCCCAATTGCTCAAGATAGTCCTTATCTTTTCTATTTTTTCCTTTTGATTAAGGAGGGCAGTTTCAGGATCTGAAGAAAATAATATGCCTAGAGGTCTTACTTTATTTTTTGCCACTTGAAGTTTCTTTCAGGAACAAGAATCTCGTCTTTCCCTTTTTGAGCCAGTCCAAACAGCTTCAGTTTACTTGTCATTTAGGTTGAGGTCAGATACTTCACTGAAGTCATCAAGTACACTAAGAGCAGTCTTCTGTATAAGTTTTGAGAAAAGAAAAGAACAGGCAATGGGTGACTAAGGTGGTGGATTAAGGTGAGCAATTTGTAAATGTACCCTGGATGAGGGGTCCCATGGCTAAAATATTATAACTCTGGAGTCCAGTGTCCTTCTGCTCAAGACTTGATTGGGAATGAGCATGTTATGAGTAAATGCAAAACCCATTGCCCTCCCTATCGATATCCTTGACATCAACAAGCTGCAGCTTCCTTTTGCTATGTTGGTTTTTTTAGTACAGCGCAGTCCTAATTCATCCAGATTAGGCCACTAGTTGGTAATGACTAGCATTTCATGCCAAGTATGACAGTGATCAGCATTCCTGGGGCAAGGCGCCTTGAATTCTTCCCCTTTCTTATTCACTTTTTTGTTATTTTTAACCTTAATTATTATCTCTATTGGCTACTTATTTTGGCTCACAGGTGATCTCTACTAGTGATGGCATGGATGGTTTAAAGGCGGATAGCGAATTTTACGAGCAAACATCTGTAGGTCAAGTCTTGTCAAACTGAAAGTGACCAATGTCATGCCCCAGCTGTAGTAGTTCAGCTCTTGTAGCACTTCTTATCATGTTGTCATCAGGCTTTGTTAATAAAAACAACTTCTCTCGTAAAGGTGCTGGTCTTTGGATGCTTTTCTTTCCCTCCCTCAGTAGAATGGCTTCGTTTACCTTGTTAAAAACACAAAACAAAGAAATAAGGAACATGTCTGTAACAAACGGTGACTCAGGCGACATTCATAACAACTGGTAGTAACAGGAACACAAAATTATTACGTGCTAGAGAATGACAGTTATAAACTAATAAAGGTCATTATAAAGTTCAGTTTGCTTATCTGCCTGTATCCAAAAGGTCTTTTAAGGTCCAAGAACCAAGAAACAGAGCCAAGCAAACCGAAGAAAGACTTCAACGATCGAGCGAACCCTTACTTCTTACACAGTCAGCAAAACTAAACTGAAAACCATGTGCTTATCCCCACATTGTTCATATATGAGCAATAAAAAGATTATACAACAAATACGCATGACTTGAATGCGACACTTGAGCTCGACACTCATAACAACCTCCACTACTGCAAGGCTGTCAACCACAGCCACATGCAGAGGGCTGCCAATTTGTTGTTCTCTGGAATTGAGGGAGAACACTTGCCATTCTGTGAAAGAACCTCAAGCATTCGCCATATTTTTCAAGATGACACAAAATCAGAGCCAAACTTGCAGAAAGCTGTGGAGCATATGTTAATGTATCACTTCACTGAGCAATAATCCAGAGGGCGCAATAAGTATTTATATTTTGCGCAGAAAACGGGAAACAATGTGAATAGTTACGGTACTTTCCGCACAATATATAACAAAGTGGAGGTGTCTAGTGGTGGATATTTACCATCTTGGTAAATATTCACCACTAGCCACCAATACTGAGGTGAATACTTGTTTTAGTATGTACTAAAACAGTGAGATAATTAAGCACAAAAATGATTTTTAACTCAGTTGCTGTTGCCAATGATTACAATTTTGTTGTGCGATGACTGAATGGCCACGTCCATTGATTTTTTGCTGACAAAAAACACTTTTGAAGGCATTTGTTTAGCTCTTGCAGGGAAATTTCTTCAAAATGAGTCGTGATTTCTTTTTGTAATTAAAATCATTCTGTAAAAAAGATTATTAGATTTAGTATTAAGCTTATTAATGAATAAGTCAACGAAATAAAGTAAAGGATTTGGAGGAAAGTATTTGGTTCTTGAGAAAAATAACACGGCCATTGGCATGTACAGTGATTTGTACTGACCGACAGCACTTTATAGAAAAATGATTTGAGTAAAGTTGAGCCAGTTTAAAGGTGGTTAAAAAAAATGAATTTTGGAAATTGACTTTGTATTTTTGTAATAAGTCTCTCTTTTGAACTAAAAAATGTTCAGAAATGTTCTGGTACAATGAAACCCCTTGCTTTTTGCATGCATCACAATTTTACAAACATACAACAGCCACCTAGCAGTTCTAGAAGCAAAACGACAGGAAAAAGTCATGATTTTGATATTGATTTTGGTATTAACTTCTGTTGCACTGCAGTGCAAGTCACAGAAGTGATTTCAAAGCAAGTGCTTGTTTGTTTATTTTGTAAGGGCAAATTATTTTGAATTTTGTCGTTCATTTCTTGCTTTTAGCGCCCATGTGTGTTCCTTGTTTAAAGTTTCTGTTGGCTGCGAGCAAATCGTAGGATTTTATATTCATCATGGGTATGAAATGCGTGTCATATGGCACACTTTCTTTATAACACAATGGCTTATGACACGTGCCATGTCATAGCGCACACTGCTTTAAACAAAAGCTACCATGACAGTCCCTGTCCTATTTAATATACACATATTCATGACATTGTGACACGCAAATCGTGCTGTGTCATTGTTATGGTCTCCCTGTGCGTTTTCCATATCTAGTAAGTACATGCGCACACATAGATTCAATAAAACGTGTTAATAGTGAACCCTCATATTGTTTGTGTACATTCTCAGATCTCTCGTCAGTACATGATAATTTTGGCGAAGAGGATGTGATCTTAAGGGATATTTTACTGTGAAAAAGTGAAGACATTTCTAAACAAGATCCACACAATGTTTCAAGATGCCAAACGAGTCTTATGTGGGACCAAATCTGGTTCGTAACACCAGGAAAGCTCAGAAGTTCGTTGTGGGAGTTGACTTTAAGGCATATCCAGAACAGCTAGAATTCTTCTTCTTGGCCAATGGAGTGACCGACTTGAAACAAAAGAAAGCCGTCCTGTTAACTGATCTTCCCACTGAAATGTACCAACTGGCAAAAGACTTGATGGCCCTGATGTTAGGAGAAGATTCTCTCATGTACGACACAATCATAGAGTGTCTCCAAAAGCAATTATTGAAGCCTCAGAAATCTGCCTTAGTCTCCAGGTATGAGTTTGACAACCAAGCGAATAATGCAGGAGAAACAGTGAGTCAGTATGTTGCTGTTTTAAAGCGTCTAGCTGCGGATTGCAAGTTTAATGATGCCTAGCATTTGGAAAGGCCCAGACAGTGTTCGACACTAACTTTCTTTCTAATTTGCCCTTTGGGCCACCAGGTTTGTGTTTTTGGTAGCCCTTGTATTTTTTGGCTTGCCTACTTAGTAAAAATGCCTCGCCCATTACAACTCAAGGGAGGTTTGAAATAAAATGGTAATTTTATTTCATAAATTTGCGTTGTTTGTTTTTGCGTTATATTGGCATTTTGTAGGAATCAGTCAGTTCCAAAGCACAGTACAAAGTATGTTTCAAATCCACAAAGTAAATCTTGTTATAAAGGTAACATAAAGTTGTGTCCAAAGGAGTGGCATCTGGGTTTCCCTTTTTCAGTGTGTGTGTGTGGCAATTTCAAGGTCTCAGTCAATCCAGTACTTCTTGCAGAACAGTATCCTCTGCCATGCATAGAGGATATTTTTGCGAATTTGGTTGGGGGTAAGCATTTTAGCAAACTTGACTTGCGCCAGGCTTATCACCAGGTGGAAGTAACAGAGGAATTCAGGAAATTCCTCATGATCAATTCACACAAGGGCCTCTTCCAATACCAGTGCTTAGTTTTTTGCATTTCTTCATGTCCAGCAATTTGGCAACGTGCCATAGACCAGGAAATACCTGGCACCCAGCGTATCCTCAATGACATGATCGTTTTGGGCAAAACTGATTAAGAGCATTTGGAGAACCCAGAGAGCATGCTCAAATGACTACAAGACAAGGGTCTGAAGGCTAACAAGGAGAAGTGTGACTTCTTCAGGGATAGAGTTCAGTTCTTTTGGCATGAGATCGACAGAGAAGGTCTCAACAAGACCCAGAGGATTGAGGCAGTAGTTAGCGCCCCTAGAGCTGTGAATGTGTCTCAGCTTCACTCATTTTTAGGGCTCGTTAACTATTACAACCGCTTCTTGCCCAATGTGTCCATAGTTCTCCACCCACTTCATCAGTTGTTAGGGGAAAGCAGGGAATGGCAGTGGTCTGAACGGTGTGAGCTAGCCTTCACTGAGGCTAAGGGCATGATTACATCTGAGCAGGTGTTAATGCGTTATGATCCAGCGCTACCAGTTAGGCTTGCATGTGATACTTCACCAACTGGCATCAGTGCGGTTCTTTCACCCGTCAATCCTTGTGGCAGCGAAAGGCCAGTAGCTTTTGCATCCTGATCGTTGACCAAGACAGAACACAAGTATTCACAGATTGACTAGGAGGCATTGTCCATGATGTGGGGTGGGGGGGGGGGGAAATGGTTCCATGTTTTTTCCTCTATGGGAGGCCGTTTATGCTCATTACAAACCACTGCCCCTCACTGCCATTTTCCACCCACAGAAGGGAGTTCCTGGGAGCTTTCTACTTTGGAACCATGACTTCTTTTATAAAGAGAAGTATGTCTGCCTAGTACCTGTTTTTAATTCCAGTATACTCCAAGATCTGTGACAATATTATATACTAAAGAAGGTGTGACATATATTATTTTTCCTCAGACTTAGTTTCACATCCTTACAGCGTGGATAATAATAAATTGATAAATTCATACACTTTCTGATGCAATAATTGCAGTTCAGAAAAGTATTAAAGTCACATCAGATGAAGTTTACTTTAGCTACACTATAATAATAATTTCTTTTCCAAAACACAGCTAGCACCATTCATAATAACAAATCAATTTACCAAAAGCCTGAATGAGTCATAATCGGTGAACTCCGGTACAACATATACGAAACTGTCTCGTTTAAAACTGTGAACTATTATTATTCGATTAAACGCCACCCTCAAACAAATGCTGCACATGGAAGCAAAATTACCAATAAATGCCACCCTCGAATAAACTACTAAGGCCTGTTTTAACCGTCCAAAGGTAATGATAACCCCAAGATAACAACAACCTTAAAGTAGTGGCCCCTTTTGCCTGGTTAAGTAGAAAGTAACCAGAGCGTTTGAGAATTTTACAGTTTTAATTATTATTTTATTAATTGTTATTTTTATCTACTTTGATTTTATTAGTACCTTGCAGTGGAATAAAGGACAACTGCTAAATTTGTCTTTGTGACCGAACATCAAGATCAAGTGATTGGATCTCTTGTTCAACGGTTTTGAAGAGTCGGCTTTTTGTCATTTCCTCATAAGCTTCATGAAGTCTTGTAAAAACACCCACACTTTTAGGCGCTGCTCTAAGGAAAGCTTCAAACTTCTGTTTCCCCTCGAGCCTTTCACTTGTGCTCTGTTTCCCTTCCCTTTTTTGAAAGGGAATGAGGATCATTCTAGTGAATATCCTAGAAAAAGAAAAAAAACAGGAAGGATGCCACATGAGGGCCAGCTGATTTTCTCGAATCACATGTGCAATATGCATTCCAATTATAGCGTTAAAATAACTGCGCTAGGCATTGAATATAAAGCAAACTAATAATCTTGTGGCCACTATTCACTGAGGTTGAAAAGAATACTTGTTACATATAATAATATATTCGTGTCAATGCTTATGCTTTTAAACAGCCCATGACAATTTGACTGGAGGATGAAAAATTGTTAATTGTTGTGATTATTTTATTTTGCTGAAATTTTTGCGGGTTCTAATGTTTGCCATTTTTTAAAATTTTTTACTCCATAGTAAATATTTTCTAACTTAAATTCGCTGCATAAATTTGTCTGTTCACTTACAACTTGTTTCTTTCCCCCAGTTCAGAAACAAAATGGTATGAAATGAAATACTGGTTTGCATAGGGTATGCACACCATATTCTAATATGAATTTCTGTCTTAGACCATTGCACATACTCAATAAAAACGAAAATATTATCAATGCTGGGTACTGGGTTCTCTCTAGAAGTCGCAAAAATTAATCCCCGTCAAAAGAAGCCTATCCATTCTTATTGCAAAAATTAAGTTCCTTGAAACGCAATTCGCAAAAATAAACTCCCACGAAAATTTTGTGCCACATGGTACATGTATATTTTTTATTTCACTCTCAAACAACGAGTTTTTCAATATTTACTTACCGGCCAAAGTCTTCACTTGTTGCCTGTAGCCTTTTAAAACCTTTCAACAGTTTTGTATAATTGACTGAAATGACCGGTATTGTGTTGGCAGGTGCCTCTCCTCCCATCATCACTTTCTTGGCCTGCATTGTGTGATAAAATCAAAAAGAAATATTGTTATCAAGAACCACAGTGCAGTGATGAAGACACCCTGTCTCTCCGAGGTGTAATAAACAAAACTTGATTGACAAACAAATGTTTAACGTTGATAAATGTTCTCCTTTTTTGCATTGTTTGAAGATATGACTTTTGAAAATATACTGTACTTCCATGTTTGCATGTGTTGTTTTTTAATCCCTTTCTTGTCTTTGGAAAGACTAACATATCTTGGACACAGGAATATCACAAAGAGCTCACCCACAACTAAGAACAACAAAGCAACTTTAAATACAGAGTTAATTTAATACTGACTACAATTAAGCTTGTGGGAGTCTATATTAGATTAAAAGGTCAGTCAGTACAAACTGAGGTTTAGTAGACATCTCAAAGCAATGTTGACTGAAAGGAAATCAAGTCTGACAGTTGACACAAATTACAAATTAATGCCTTGTTATTATCAGAACCATCATTTTTTGTAAAATGACAACAACACGGTCAATATTGTCCCACCAGATTGGAATAGTTGTATTATTGAGGCTGTCTAACAGTTTAGCCCCTGAGCCAGCTGCAGAGAAAAAATAGCACATGGTAAAATGTAACCTTTTAACATCAGTTGGTGTCATTGAGACTGTTAATAAAATAATTGATAATTTTTTAAACTTATTAATCACCAAAAACAAACAAATGAACAATTCACAATTAAATAATGGTAAAAACTAGCACAATAATTACATATATTAACACGATTATGACTGCTGTAATGCTTTTTTTTATAGAAAAGTGCCCCTGCACAATCTACTATGGAAACTGATCAGAAATAAACCATAATTCTAACAATACACACAAAAGAGGTATTGTGTAGAAAGAACTGGACATTAGAGGGTCAGATTCATGGTCAAAATCCTGTTTTTCACCCAGGACTTGCTGTATCATCGATGCGTCTTTAAACATACTCCCAAGTCTCAGACTGGCTTTTTACAGAATAACCGCATGGCAGACCATGTTTTTACACTCCGAAGACTGATAGATAAATGCTTTCATAGTCACAACGGAAAGATCTATGGTTGTTTGGTGAATTTCAGAAAAGCTTTTAATTCAGTACAGTACAGTTCAGAATGTTGGACTCCTTAATACGTTGCTACAAATTAATGTTGGTTGTTTTTATACCTTAGTCAAAAGCTTATATCTCAATTCTACGTGCTCCATAAAAATTGGACAAAACCAAACACGTCTTTTCATTTTCCCAGAGGTGTACGTCAGAGATGTATTTTAAGCCCACTGCTTTGTAATCTTTACATTAATAACTTACCTTTCGCATTTGGAAATACATTATCTGATCCGTTTGTACTGTCAAACGGTGCAAAATTAACTTCCCTTTTATATGCAGATGATTTAATTATCCTATCACGATCCAAAACAGGATTGCAAAATTGCCTTAACACACTGTCTTCATTTTGCACCTTATGGATGTTGAAAATAAATCCCAAGAAACCTAAGATTACGGTTTTTCAGAAACGTGCAAGGAAATGTGCAAAATTTCACTTTTTCATAGGCAATCAAATTATTGATGTACGAAAATATACTTACTTAGGACCTTGTATGTTTTCTTCAGGAAATTTTTCAGTGTCGTGTGAACATCTCAAAGGGAAAGGTCTTCATGCCTTCTTCAGTTTGAGATGACACAGGAATCTTACCAAATTAAACCCAGCTATTGCGTGTAAAATATTTGATACCATGAGATCTTCCCTATCCTCACATATAGTAGTGAAACTTGGGGTGTGTATTGTTTTTAATTTATTTTTTTTTATTGACAACAAATTAACAACATTAATACACAGCAGAAAGTAAAGGAATAAATAAGTAAATAAATATGTCAGTAAGTAACAAAACAAATTACAATAAAAATAAAGAGTACTGGAATATAAATGATAATAACAATAATAATAATAATAAAAACACCTGTCAGTTGCCACACGTATTCCATATTGTTTGCCACAATTTTCAATGCAATATTGTTCTAAAAGCTTACGTAAAAATTCCTCTAAATTAGGTTTCGTTACAATGTTCTTGCAAGTATACAAGTATTTTTTTGCAGTAAAACCAGTAGATTAAGTTTGCGTTGAGTTGAAATTGGCATTTGCAATGGAAGGGAGTCATCGAACGTGTTAAATAACATTTGCTTGTTCGAAAGTTGTATGTTCTCTTTATAATATTCATTAAACCACCTTAAAGTTTTGGAAAGGAATTTCTTTGACTCTTGACAATGTAAAAAGGTGTGTTCAATTGAATCTGGATTAAGGCAGAAAGGACAGGGAAGTGAATTCCCACATCCAGGTTGTGACCCCCTTCACGATATCATTTTTATCATGTCAGGAAAGAGGTGAAGATCAGACTGTAAACAAACGTGAGGGTTCCACGCGACTACTCACATTTATGCAAGTAAGTGGCGTGTTTTTAGGGAATGTTCAAATCAGAAATATCTAATTTTCCAAAGCGTTCCAAATTACAAACATTAATCCCCACCATTGTCCAGTTTTAAAAAGAACTTTGCAGATGCGGTGAAGGTCCAAAGGACATACACATGATAGTATATATATCTTGCCACATAGCTACGCTGAAAAGAAATAAAGTGTTGGAAAAGCAAGAACAAATAAGTTATGATAACATCACAAGGTCATAAGCTTTTAATCCCTTCATTTCCTTTTCATGAATAAAGTAGACAAAATTAAAACTCTCAATAAAATCAAATGGAAATGCAACATTAACCAGGATTTTTAAAGTGATTTCTCTTAAGGACTCTAGCTTAGAGTCCCCTGAGCTTTTGTATGTTTATAACTGGATTTCTAATAAAAATTATGACACCAGCACAGTTGGAGCAAATACAAATTAACTCTGTTCTAGGCTATTAAACTGACACAATTTCTTGCTCTTATGTGAAAACTTGTTACAATTCTGCTCAAAAATCTGTTTCAATTTTTTTTTTTATGATTATCAAGAAAATGGATGCTTAAAAGGCAAACTTTTGCCCTTTGGAATCTTCTTTATAAATGCAGGTTTTTGTGATATTTCTCCTTTGTCCTATGTGTTACATAAATTTACAACATGCAATGTATTATCTAACCAATTTTGAGACATTAAGGTAGTGAGGGCTATCCTTTGAAACAGTAGTATTGGCTAAGGAGAAATCTCTTAGCTTGACTGAAGGCTAATGTTTTTAACTGGAAACAAATTTGAAACAAAAGCCTTAACAGACTGTTAAAAACATCGGCTCTTAGCACCCCCCCACCCCATCTTTTTTTCTGCAGTGACTTTGATAATGTTCAGAGATATTAAAATGCTCTCAGCCTAACTACAAGGGCTAGAAGCAATAAAACATTGTGGTGGGCTGCACCGACCCGCTGTACCTAAAAATGCTCTTGCTATCCTAATGGGCTAGCAAGCTCTCACAGGTTTTACAGAAGTATGGGCTAATTAACTAAAGAAATATTTTTTGAGCCCTTCAGGAGTGATCATGGGCAGTAGAAAAATGGGTCTTGTATTGCTTCTGCGGAGTTTATCCTAGGCAACTAGTATGAAAGAACTGTCCACATTTCTCACATCCAAGCCAGTCTTCATTATCATCCATCCTTCATACTTTGCAGACAAATACATCCCTTCCACTGTAAAAAGAAGAGAAACATAAGGTGTATTTTTACAAAGTTTTGGAAATTGTATGAACAGTCCTTAAAATACATGCTTTTAATGTCCATAGGAATGTCCATATTCTGTCCCCACAGCAAATTCAATGTTTTTTTTTCATAGCTTTCTTCTCAAATTGGGCTTTTAAGAAATCTCTCTTCCTAGGAAATTGCAATAACTTGCATGGTGGAGTACCTCAAAACGTCATCATAACAGCTGCCAAACAGGTTGGATAATAATTTGTTCCTCTCAATAACAACATTAAAGTTGTTAGTGAGTTTCTTGTCATCCAGGTTCCTTGCAAACTAAACAAACGCAATCAATTAATATGTTAGCATTATGCAATGGATGGCATAGAGTAAGTTGCATGACTGTATACTTGTCAACCTTTAATTAACCAAATAATCACAGAACAACTGAACATTACTGTGCAAACTAGTACACCACAGTTGAATCCATCCATCTGCTGAAAATGCGGAGGCTCAATGCATCTCCAATCCTTGCTTTGCCAACCTGTTTTGATGTCCGCAGCTTCACTAAAATGAATAAAACCAATCATTTGACAGTATAAAATTTTTACCTGTAACAACATAACATCAGTGTCTACCGAAGTTAATGTCCATGTGCTATGAGTGTTTGGTTTCTGCAAAAAAAATGCTGTCAATTAAGGATCCCAAGTCTGGTTGGGAAACTTTCCCATGAACTGAAGTAGGAATGCATGATGAAACCTACTAGTGGGTAGCTATTCGCTGAGAAATATGTGACAGGCTTCAGAACTCTTGATGGTGGGTTGGGTGGTTAATCTGTATAGCTCAACCTTCAAAATTATTTTTTGGAAAGTCCCCCTTGGGTCATCATTTGCCAAATTGAATGTTCTACTTTCCACCTACAGCAGATGGGTATTGGCAAACATAAATGCTAGTCTAATGTTTTCTCTGAAATATTGAAGGATGAATGACTCTCTGATCTGAGATTGCCTTGACCAGGCAACACCCACCTTATCTTACTGATGATGTTGTACAGACTAGGAGATGACAGAGCTGTTATTTCCTTTGGTTTGCTGTATTCATGGAAAGGGTCAATGTAAAAACGAGTGGATTCCTTTCCGTCCAAAACTTGGGAACAAGTCCATTGAGTTGCAGCAGAGAGGTTAAAGAAGAACCTGACAAATTGAATGCAACTGTACTGTCTCATTTAACAAACGTAACAGTGCCTTAAAGACAGTACTTTGACAAAAGGTGTCATCACGGTGGTGTACTTTTATAAATTTAAATTGTTTTAAGACACAACTGGCTGTAACTTTCTTGTTTTTAAGGGTTTAATTCAAAATTCCCGACAAGCATAACTGCCCCTTTCATATGGGAGTCCCCCCAGGTGGTAGCAGCCTTACCAAGTGGGATGACCTAAACTTACCAACAACATCCAGTGTATTCCCGAGATATTCATTGGTACGAGAATTTTCTCGATACCCTTGAATTTCTGTCCCACCCATAATCGCCGGGTACTTGCCCCATGTTGGACCACAGGGCAAAGAGTGCTGTCTGCAGCAAAGAGTTGTTGACGTCTAGTTAGCTGCCATAGGGTTGCGTCAATGATCTGACAACAAAAAAAAAGACAAACATGTTGCATATCTTATCCTGAGATGAACGATACATATTTCTTGGCCAGAGTACATCACATGAAAAAACTGCTTACTGTATCAGTAAGTCATCCATCTTTGAAAGTGGGGATCGAGGCTGTAATTTTCTTTGTTTCCTTTTCAGTAAGTGTGCCAGGAGAGAGAGTGGTCAGCAGATCGGACACAGTAATTCTGAACGGTCCTAGTTGAAGTATGCATTCCCCTAAAGGTGTGTGCTTTTGCAACGTCTTGATCTGTGTAATGGGATCACATGACAGTAGCTGTGATTCTCCCTGGGAAAGACTAAAAGATACCCTCTCCAATTAGTTATCGTGATGGTGACAGTTTTTCAAAGAATTGAGCCCAACCTTATAGATAACTTCCAAACCTGTATACTTTACCTTGCGGAGATGTCAGCATCGCTTTCCTGGCGTGTTGCAGTCGAAGTTTCACCATCTGGTTCCGAGTCCATGTCATCATCCATGGGCATATTTACAACTGAGTCGACCTGGGAAGAAAACTGCGGCGATAATGTTGGTTAAGAAGTTACGCAAGTCTTTGTGACAAGAAAGAAAACAAGCGTACCAGTTCCGATATGACAAGGTTTTCTTTGGGCCTATCACGTTTCCCCACATCATCTCTCTCTTCTTACTCTGTCTTCGACGTACGGGAGCTTGTTGTGGAACACCTTGTGGTAGTCTGCTTCAGTAACCTTTAACTTCTTTTTCGCAGGACTCTGTCACAGAGGAAGGCCATTTTCTTGGGGAGAACTTTTCTTCAGTTGCATCAACAGAGATTCCACTTCTACCGCAACGCTCTCAAGGACACTTGCATCATCCACCATGAATGTTGCTGATCTCAAGGCATCTATCCTTTCTTGAAAGCTTCTTCTAGTTTTTGTGGCATTTGATCTTTTTAAAGGTGGCTCAGTGGAACCCATGTTCGGGTCGGAAGATTATGAATTGGATCCATCTGTTTCTCCATCTTCCTGAGAAGGGATTGTTGCTTCAGTGATATCAGGTGTGGCTGTGTTGTCCAGAGGATCAAAGTCATCTCCACTACAACCGTTGCGGCTGTTGTCTGACGTGAATGGCTGTGAGGGTGGCTTTTGCACAGGGTTCGAGTCACTGAGATTGGTGAAGTCGAGAGTTATGAATGCACTGTTTCTGCAGGAGTCCAGCAAGCTGTTAAAGCCCCACTCTTGGAAGAATTTAAAAACCACAGAGAAATGCTTACAAGGGAAATGTGTTTTATGCCAGCTTTGACATTGACAACTTGGCTCCGAGAAGTTTACAGCATACAGCCAATTACTGTTGCAACTGCTTCTAGCAAGGAACTCTCCTTTTTCAAAACTGACGCATGTTACGTCACATTCTTTAAACTCGCTGGCTGGAAAATTGGCCTTAAGACAGTGCTTGAAGTGAAGGTAGTCGGGTAAGTTCCTGTATTGTCGGTATGAGCTGCTAACTTGAAGGTTAGTGTCTATATAGTGCTGATATGAATCTGGCACAAACGACTCCACGATCATTACTGCGATGCCAAAAACTGATTTGTCGCGTGATGACTGAAGGTAGCTGTATTTTAAGACTTTGTTTTGTGCTTCGATTCCGTTGTTTGTGTTCACGATGTTTACAGCTTGTTGGATGCGAAAGGTATGACACCAGCGCTTAGAGCAGCTCAGCTACACCTTTTCACTGTAATCTTCTACTTGAGGGTTGCCAGCGTACAACGTGCTGTTTCGTAGGCTTTCTACTGACTTCTGGTAACTTTGGATATTTCTTGGGCGAGCGATTTGCTGCATGAATTCCAAAAACATTGCCTGTTCACCCAACGTTAGGCCATTTTTTCCTAGCTTTGGCCCATCTTTGCCACGCTTGTTCTCTATAAAAACAAATGTAAATGGCAACTTCCGGGAACTCGCTCTCGATTGCATTGATTTCGGCTATGGAATAATCTACCATAAAATACTTTGGATCCCAAGTTGGATTCCAGCCCTTGATAGTACTTAGAGCCTCTGCGATACATTCTTTGTCTTTGTTTTGGCAAAGAAATTCTGCCATTACCTTGTATCCAACATTAGTGTTAACACCTGAAAAAGAGAGGAATTGCATACTTTGTGGTTTTGTAACTAGTGTCCCTTAGTACAAGTTTGCTTCCATACCAAAGGAGAAGCCTCTGCTGCCATTCTTCTTGGTGAACGAACATGAACTTGCTTTCGTTACCATCGGTGTTGTCATCTCTTGTTCTTATGTAGAACTTAGATGTCGGCGACTCACAACACCACTGATCAACCTTTCCCTTTAGCGACTCTTGATCATCACCACAATACTTGCTGGCACTGATTGCTCTCGCAATATGACTTCGCAAATCCTGCCTGCTTGGGTAGTATCTGTGGTTGGACTTTATAGGTTTCTGCTGTGCTGCATTACCTCCGAGCATTTCTTTCTGTACGTACTGCTCCAAACATTTTCTAACAACATCTGGACTAGTTATGTTTTTGCCTACCAACTCACGGATCTTGCTAGCGATCTTTGGATGTACAGAGTGGCCTATAGTTCCAGCCTCGCCAACTGGATGTGCTTCATGTCGTGTACTGAGGGGAAGCTTGAAATAGTACCTCTTTACTGTTTTAAGGTGTTTGCCAATTTGCCTGTCATGTTGTAACTGCTTAAGAATCACAGCCTTTGCCTTCTGTAGACCTTTCTTAGAGAAGATCTCATTTAGTGGTCATCTACTGCTTAAGACTCAGAGCCTTTGCCTTCCGTAGACCTTTCTCAAAGAAGATCTAATTTAGTGGTAAAGTATAATCGACGTACGATTGAATTGTACACACTTGCAGGTTTGCTGGGCATTCCAGTTTCTTGTGCCTTGTACTTTGATGTAACTTCCCGAACCAGCCAAGTAGTCATGTTCTGAAGCATTTTGAGAATTCTGCTTCTTTCCACCTCTTGAATCCTGAATTTCCATGGCAAATAAAAAAAGGAAGAAATCATACTCTGTAATCTATGGTACCAATATTGTTTAACAAATAGACTTTTTTTATACACAAAACTGTAACTTTCACACGCTTTTCAAAACTGCATTATGCTGGCAGTTTTGTGTTGAAAGATATCTCACGCTGGGGAAACTTATGTGGCGATGGAGCGTAATATAAAAAAATATGTTCTCATATAGTTAGCTGCTAGATTGGTCTTTCCCATAAGATCACAAAAGGCCAAAAGAAACTTTACAGTGCACTGTTGTTACCCCTGTTGTTGGTTTAAATCATATAAAAGACTTACTACCAGCAAGCTTTTTTTAAATAGAAAGCAACCGATATCTTAGTGCGTCTGATATCAATTTATGGTCATAAGTGTCTTAGAAAAGCTAACAAGGAAACGCATCAAAAGTGGAGTGTCCTTACTGCGACTGGTCCGTGTAGACATCTTGTGTCCGCACTCAAAACTGAAAATGGGTGTGATGGGCAACTTCCTATTTACATTCAGGACTAAGAGACGGGAATGGGTGTGCAGCTCGAACTATGGAGCCTGAGTGTTTAATGCCATCCAAATAACATACAAAGTTCGACATCATGACTAAAGAATGGTACACAAATATTCCTAAATAGAGTCACTCAGGCTAAACTATTCACGTGCGCCGCCTGATACGAAAAACCCAAAAACCCAATGGCGAAAAATTGGGAACATATTCCCCAACCGATGCGGTCGCACAACCTCAGGGGTTAAAGGTAAAAAATCAATAGATAGATGAATAAAGTAAGGTATAAAAATAAAATTTGATAGTTCGAGAGCTGAGATGAATACATTACAACTGTCAAAACCTTATATACCTTACAACAATAGAGTCAATTAACGCCATAGCGGCTCACGTGCGTTCATACCAATAGGAAAGTATTTACATTCTCTGTCACTGCCACTACGTTTAGCTCCGCCGAATGTAAATACATTTATCGGAAGGTTTCCATATTTCTGCTCAAATACAACTGGAACTGGATAAAGACAAAGGAGAGAAATAGAAGACGCACATGTGACGAAAAACTTCAACAATAGTAAAAAAAATGTCATAAAACACTACATTGTAATGTTCCTTTCTTCTTTTCTATATAGTTCTTCCACTATTACTCAAAAACTTCTCAATTACATTTTATATATTCAGTCTAAAACCGAAGACTCTTTTGTCAAACAAACCTTTTTAATGTCATTTGATATACACTCTAGGGCTAAAAGTAGCTTTCACTCCCATCTCATGAAGATATCAAAATATTTCAACCTACCTGACTTTTATGTTAATTTGTTAGATATCGCAATAGTCAAAACCTTTATACGCTTGATGAAACACAAATATATCTCCTATACACGAATCGCGAATCTCAGATGCCGCTCAGGATTGTGGGTAAGTACAAAGTTCAATCGGGCATCACTACAGATTTTGTATGTACATGTGTATGCTATCGATATCAAACGTAAGCGACACTAAAACAAGTTTGTAATCGCAGCAAGCTAGGAGGAGAGGAATTTCATTGGATTCTCCGCCTCGTTTTGTTTGGAAATTTTTTATGCTCCTGTTCCGTCTGTTCCTGTTCGAAAATAAGTTTACATAAAAAAGATGGCCACTGTTGAGCAACTTTCTTTCGATGAAATCAACACATGGAGAATGGACGCATTGAAACACTTTCTTTAGAAAAGAGGTCTTAAGGTCTCTGGAAAGAAAGAAGAGTTGGTTGCCCATGTTTTCGCTGCTGCAGAACAAAACATGCCTGTTTGTTTGGATGCTGCCTCACGGGTTGCTCAAATGCAATGTGAAAGAGAGAGTCTTCTCAAAACTCCTGAAGGCGTTTTACCGGATCCTAGTGAACTTCATAGTGGATGGATAGGTGAACTTAACGGGTTGACCAAGTGGCTACCTATACTTCTCAGTGATCTTACTTTGTACATAATGAAGGATCATCCATGAAACGATATTTCCCTTCAAAAACGTCTACTGAATGAGTACAAAGAGGGGAAAGCCTACCGCTTACATTCTGCCTGATGGTTAAAACAAATTTATATACATCCTGTTGATAATAACTGTAACTACTGCTTCTTGAAGGCAGAATGCACCCCTTCTATGAAAATAAATGATGGACCAAACATAGTGTGGATATGTGCGAAGAAAGAGTCAGGAGAGATTCACAGTGCTTTTTGTACCTGTACAGCAGGGTAAGCGATTTCCTTTAAAGTAAGTGATTGTAGTAACATATAGCTTGCAGTATGTCCCTCGCAAAAATTCCTATATAGCTATATAGCTCTACTGGAAAAAAAGAAATGTTATCCTAGTAGTTCTGCATTAGAATAAGGAATCAGAGTGCTTAAAAAGACACAAGAAACCACAATATACACGGTAATCCTTTCTGTAGGTTGGGTGGTTTGTGTGTCCACGTTACTGCCATGTTCTTTCGCATTGAAGCAGCTGTAAGGGGGGGATTCTCAAACTTAGTAGTGGCATGCACTTCAAAGGCCTGCATATGGAATGTTCCCTCCCAAAAAACTGTTATTGAGCCTGTTAGGGCCAAAGATATGAATTTCACAGCAGCTAAATTCAACAAAGGTGTGAATGCTGTATGTTAGCTAATGTAGGTATAGTTCTTATTAGGATATCGTTAGACTCCCATCATCATCATCATTATCAACAGATGCTCTCATGGACAGGGTTATCAACATGTTCTTAACCCCAATAGTGATGGCTCATAGTAGTCAGACATAATGTAGGTAATTCGTGATTGAAAAAGAATAAAACGTAGAGCACTGCACTGCTTTTACACATGCTGGTGTAAGCAATTGCTGACGTCCGTAAAGAATCAGCTCACTAATGACCTTTGCAAACTGAAACTATAGAAGAGCCACAATCATAATATTATACAGACGCAAGCATAAATGGTTCCTGGATATCCCTGGCCATATTTAAAAAAAAAAAATACAGGTTTCACTATATTGCTGATCTTATGTAACAGATAATATTTAAGACTGTATGATGGAATTGTACTTTTCAGAGACTTTTGTTTATTTAAGACAATCTGTTGTCTAAGCAGGATTTAATAACTTATGGGGTCTGTGCATGCTACATCCTTTAAAGGCTGTTTTAATATGTATGTGAATTTCTTTCATAGAGGCATCAAGGGCAGCAGTGTCTGCAAAGCGAAAGTTGTTTGTTCCCTTGAAGGAAAAGGATATCGACACCCAAGGGACTAACCGCAAGCACATGTTTGAAGAACTTAAGAAAACAGTACCAAATGGTTGTTGTACTTCATTTTATGCAAGGGACTATGAAACAGATGTTTCATCTGAGGTTCCTGTTGCTTCTAATCATTAGAAGTAAATTTGCATTAGTAATGCAAATTTACTTACCAAATTAGCTACAACTTGCAAAAGTGTGGAAGAATTTTTGTCACAAATGCCTGTCCCTACAGATGTGCAAGTTCAGCAGATAGAAACCGAAACACGGGAACAGGCAGACAATGCAACGTGGGCTAATCAGCGCAAAGGCAGAATCACAGCATCAAATTTCTACTATGGTTTACCAGAGCTAATACCATCAAGGCTAACCGTTCGATAAACCATAGTGTAGAGCCTCTCTTAAGAAAAATCATGGCTTATGATGCAAGTAAAGGACATAACATTCCTGCTTTAAATCATGGTAAAGAATATGAGCTCATTGCAAAAGAAAAGTATATATCTTTAATGAAGTGCAATCACAAGGAATTCACATTATCAGAAAGTGGGCTATTTGTTGATCCATCAAGACCTTACTTGGGGTCATCTCCAGATTTACTAGTCTATTGCAGTGGTTGTGGAATGGGATTGTCAGAAATGAAAATTCCTTTTTCTATTGTTAATGAGATGCTGTCTGCAAAAAATCTCCCCTACCTTGTGGAACATGACAATGTCACAATGCTTAGAAAAGAGCATGCATATTATGCTCAAATACAAGGGCAACTAGCTTTGCCCGGGAGAACGTACTGTGATTTTTTCGTTTTCACCCGTGTTGGTTCTCTATGCGGTGAATTTATTTTGATGAGAGTTATTGGCATAAGTTAGTTAGCAACTTAGAATTTTTTTTTCAAGAATTAGGTTGCATCAGAACTTTTGTCACACTAGTGATTTGTAGTTGTATTAATTTAATGGATGTTGTTCATTACTCACATTTGTTGCATGAGCTAGTGATTTGTGGTTGTATTAATTTAATGGATGTTGTTCATTACTCACATTTGTTGCATGAGCAACCTGTATCTACAGCCATGCACCTGAGAACCCCTCAAGTGCAAAGCCTTGGGTACAAATTGCACAGTGCTGCACAGATAGTGACAATATCATCAACTTTATTCAAGAGTAAGATGAGCATTTCATACTTCAATATTTTGAATGTTTTAATTCAGCGAATTGCCTGCTCAACAAAAATTCTTAAATTCGCAACCTCTTCTTTTTTTAACATCTTCCTTTCTCATTTGTTCACCGCCCCTTTTTCCTGGTGGGATGTGTAATTGGCAATGGCTTAGTAAAAGATCCTCTGCAATGGTGAACCCTTTGTCTGCCGTGACTTCATCCTCCTATTCAAGAATGTCATAGAAACCCGAGTTTCGAGTAATAGCAATATCTGCTGCTCTACCACCCTGCCTCTGTAATGAAATTAAATGAGCCACATGGCATTATGGAGACCAGCACTTTCAGTGTATGATGATGTTTGTAGTCTGACCATGTTGCAGCTTTCACCTTGGGGTCCTTTGGAGTTTCAATAAACATTTGTGTACAATCTATGATGTGCCTAACATTCCTTACCTTGCATTGTTGAACTTTTTAGGCAGGTGCTGGAAAGCAATATCTTTCGACAGATTGTAGATTAGGCACTTCAGCTCCTTTGCCAAGAATCGAAACCATGAGTTTATTACCTTGCTTACAGTTGTCTCAGATATTTGAAAGCGAACAGCTAGGTCT